TGTATTTACTTCAATCTGTTAAGGCAGCCTGTCTCTTCTTTAATCTAATGATAACATTCATTATAAATTAGTTTAAATAGGGAGGACAATTCGGACTTCTACGGCTTTTCAGAGAGATGTTGCATAGCAGTTCTTAAATTATAACAAGAAAAATAATGTAGAAATTATTTTTCTAACAACACATTCCTTTTGAAACTGCCTGCTTAATGCTTCTTTGAAAAAAATTATTTGCTTCAGAAAAGTCACCTTCTGGGACATGAGTTAGGGGTCCTGCAATTTGACTATTTCTGCATCTTTGATGACTTAAACCAGCTTGTGATGAAAAGACAGAAAATTAGGGATTTTTTTTTAATGCTATATGTTATATCATGTGATAGGTGAAGGATTCTATTTGAATGCTGTGTCAGAGAAGAATATCTGTATTATGTGGACTTCAGGGCACAATATTTCAAGAAAGATGAAGGTTATTGGACATAGTCCAGAGGACAGCAGGAAGAATGTTCAGAGGTGTAGAAAACACAGCATATGAAAAAAGTCTCAATCTTCAGATTTAGTTGTTTAGTCTAAAGAACAAAAAACTGAAAGGAAATTCATAATAGCCTTCTAGTGTGTACAACTTTTCTGTAAAGAAGGAGAAAAGCATTCCTCATGTCCACTGGGAACAGAGCAAAAAGTAGTAGGTTTAAATTACAACAGAGGAGATTTAGGTGAGACATTACGGAAAAAAGCCCTTTCCACTGTAAGGATAGTTAAGCACAAGAATTGCCTAGGGAGGTTATGAAGAGGTTAGACAAACATCTGTCAGAAATGATTTAGGTATAGCTAATCCTGCTGTGAGATAAAGTGTTGGACTAAATAACCTTTTGAGGTCCCTTCTAGCACTATTTTCTCTGATTCTGTGATTAGGATACTGTACTCACATTGTCCTGCAGGAAGATGTTTCTGTGCAGGGATGATATCACTGTATTCTGCACTGCATGCTTTGTTTTGGTTTTGCTTTAAGCTGATGGGGAGAACGATGGTCTGATGTTAGCTTTGTTCTTGGTACCTGAGAAACTTTGAGCAGAGCATCAGGAGTTTTTTTTCAGCCAGACAGCCCTGTTCTGGTTTTGCACTAAATATGTGCCAATAAGGGTTATCGGTACACACCTCAAAATTAGTGGCTTTTACTATGCCTTTTAACTTGCAGTCAAACACTTACATGTGTGGATGCTCAGTTTCTGCTTATAAGCGAAATGCAAACAGAAAAAAAAAATAACCATGAAAAGAAATGTATCGTAGTTTCCCCTTTAGTAAAACCAAAATAAAACCAGGCATGTTCTAAAGCTGAATATAACACAAGTTGTGAAACATCCTGGAACTGACAGATGGAGAATGATATTAAAGTGCCAGATATTATCATTATTACCTCATCAGAGAGACCATTGAAGGCGTCACTTTAAGGCTGTCCTTATCCTCTGTAACACTCAAAATCTTTAACTTTGTTCTTCCATTTGGCATTTTGCCACCCGGCAGGATTTGTATTCAGCTTTGCATTCGGCAGGAGTGTGTTCGCAATATTGCTTCTGCATACTGAATATGGCTCCAGCACAGCTACACATTGGTGGGGTTTGTAAAACTCCATCTGGAGGAACAAGGAACAGGTTCTGATTTTGAAGCAGTTTAAAAGAAATTGGTCATACTTTGCATGTAATGTTGACAGAGAGTCTGTGTGATTAGTGCCACTGTTCCTGCAGAGATGAGGTCGTCACGGCATTTGAAACAGGGGCATGCTGCCATGCCACAGCAGTGACCCGAGCGTGTGGTTTTCATGGGTGGGACTGTTCTTGAACCCAGCAGGGAAGATGGGACAGTTCTTGGTTTGTTGACCCTTTAGGAACCTGAAGGTTGATCATCACATGTTTTCCATGGTGTAATCTCAGCTTTTCAAAGTTATGTGGTTAGCTGCCTGTTCTTACTCAAGGAATGAGTAGTTTCCATTTTCTTAGACAATCCCACTTTTTCACTAGGAAGAAGTAGGATGGGGGAAGGCAGACTCTGTGGGATGTGGCAGAGAGGTGAGCCAGAAACCTTATCTGCAGATGTGGATCCTCCTTGCTGAGGGCCACAGCTCTGTGTGATGGACTTACACTGGCATGTTCTCTGCACCAGGTCCCTTAGGTGAGGGTTTCTGGTTTAGCATCTGAAAGGGTGCATATACTGTTAAATAAACGTACTTGGTTTTGTAAAGGTGGTCTTGTATTAATCTGATTTAAAATTCAGAAGTCAAGCTGAATTCATGTGAAAAGAAAAATACTGGGTTTTTTCAACTGCACCATCTAATTTGCAGTCCTCAGAATTTCACTAGTGAAGGGTTCTCTTGCAGATAGATAGATAGATAGATAGATAGATAGATAGATAGATAGATAGATAGATAGATACAAGTGTTTTGTATGGGGATACATCCAGTACCATCCAGTTGGTGTCATGTTATCTGAAAACACAGTGTATGTTCAGCACCAGAGCTAAAAGTGAATCACAGACTGTTTAAAAATATATGTTGTTTAAAGACAACAAACACAGAATGTTCTGCAGTATCTATCTGATAATATTTGAAGCTCATATGAAGAGTTTTTAATAAAGGAGAGATCATTTGAGTAACAGCAATTCTATTATATTTTAGTTGGGGAAAAGTAATTAAAGTTATAACCTTTGCCTTGCTTTCAGAGGTAGATACTTTGCAAGTTCACTTAAAATAAGAGGAGTTTCAGGTAATGCTTTTTTTCTTTCTGGAGTTTATAAAATCATTAGGATGCTTATTCTTATTAAAAAGTGATCTTGCTTTTCCAGCCTTTCATGAGGGGATTTATCCCCAGCTCCAATCCAGCACTGTGAGGTGTTGCACCTCAAAAACTCAAGGCGTTGCCAAGCTGGGCAGAGTGGGCTCAGTCCCTGCAGGGTGGTGGGAACCCCGGGGAGGGCACACACCCACGGTGGGGCTTAAGCGACGCAGACAGGGTGAAGGGAGGGCTTTTGGGAGGGTTGTGCCTCCCTTTCTCCAGCATGCAAGGGAGTGGGTGGGTTTCCATCCCCCTGCCAGCTCACCCTGTGCTGGCCGAGACGGCTCAGGACAGTCCACTCTCCCACTCCCCATTCTCCAGCTGCTGCCCAACCCAAAAGCTGGATCTGGAGCAAAAAGCCAAGCAGCAGTTACAGATTCATGGGCACAACTGTTTGCGTACGGGTTGTCTGGTTGAGGCAGAGATAGTGATAGCTTTTAAGGCTAATGTGTTTGGCAAGGAGGTGAGCTGATATTGGAGAGAAGGGAACAAGAAGTCGGTAGCAATCTTTAAAAATAGAAATGTCTGCCAAGATTCAAATTGCAGCCTTCAATTGATTTCATACTCTGCGCTGTCTCTGCTCCTCTCCTCCGGTGCTTTAGCAGTCATTAATGAACTTAAACATATTTGTATCAATAACCCTTTTTTACCAGAAATTATTAATTTCTAAAGCAATATAAATACAGATATAATTGTGATGTCACATTGTCAGAAGCCATTTCAAATTTTTTTCAGAGACACAGATACATGTAAAGTGGTAAGTATGCCATAACTAATGGCATTATTAGTTTGATTTACTGCCAACCAGCCAGCTTTACAAAAATCAATCCCCAAGCTTATAAAGTATCTCCCTAAAATTGATAAAATTTTACACTATCAATAATAAGAGAAAAGATTAAGTTACATGTTTATCTCTTTTTCTGTGTGTTACTGGTTGAAAGTTATCTTACAGATTGCTGTGATATGTAGGAGTGTGTGTATGAGAGAGAGAGATAGGTTATAGAAGTCACGAGCTACAAAAAGTTTAAATAAAAAAATAAAATGTGAGTGATCTTTAGACAATTCAGATGACACATCTAACAAAGACTGTTGGTAGAATAAATGTGGTTATGTTAATATATTGAACCATTAACACGTGTCCTTATCATAATGGAACTTACACAATGGTAGTTCCTGTCAGATTTAACTCAATCTGTACAGCATGTTTGTCTGATGCAGAGAAAGACAACTATATCTATTTCATTTCAGGTCTGAACTGACACTTCAATTTTAAATCACCCACAGAACACCTTAGCTTAAATCTGAGCTTCTCCCTGATACTCTTTGTTATTTGTCATGTTTCCGTATGAGTATACTGAAAAGATGTTACAGACAATCTGCCGTAGTGTGTGTGTGGTGCATTTGACCTCTGGACAAGAAAGGAGTTTCATCCTCCAGTGCTTTTAATTCTTATCCTTGCAGAGACTGAATTTGTTGCTTGCATTAAAATAGTATGTCTCGTTAATGCTAAGAAGCGGTGACCCACATAGCACAATGGATTCATTTGTCAATCCCATGACTTCGGAGCTTTCCGTTCATATATGTCTTAGCAGCAAATCAACTCAGAAATCATTTAATCAGTCTATCAATTCATCCTTCTTGTCACTTGTCTGAATCCTGAAAATTCCAGTATCTCATTGGGCATCATCGGGCAAAATAGATTTGGACCTAGTACTAGATATTCACTCTGAAAACTGCAGCTCCCAGATTCACAGCTCACACACACAAAAATCCTAAGAAGAAAAGTAGGATCTGGAAATTGTCTTCAGTTTTGAGGATATTCATGTTCTGATCTGGTTCTGAACTTCAGAATGCAAACCTGCCCCTGTTTGTTAGCATTTCTGAAATACTCTACATGCAGTTACAGAAAGCAGTGCCCTTTTGTTCCCCCTATAAAGAAACAAGCTTTCATTGCTTTTTGCTATTCCCGTGGGCTGAGACTAGAGCCTGAATAGTTTATAACAGTCAGTGTTATGCAAATGTCAATCATATCCTTACTCTGTTTATTTCCAGTATTTACGTGTTTATTTAAGTACTTGACATTTCTTTTAAGCCTTCTATAACCAATCAGGCCAATGGGAGTCTGAAGGAACAGAACACTTTATTAGTGATATGCTTAATACAGTTTTTTTCCTCTTGTAGATGCAAGATTTACGGAATACAGAAGGAGCCCAGTATAGTTCCCATCCTCAGATGGCAACCATGAGGCCAAGGGTTCAACCTGCAGATATTAGGCAGCCAGGAATGATGCAGCACGGGCAGCTGACTACTATTAACCAGTCCCAGCTCAGTGCACAGCTTGGTTTGAATATGGGTGGAAACAATGTTCCTCACAACTCGCCCTCTCCACCTGGAAGCAAATCTGCAACTCCTTCACCATCCAGTTCAGTCCATGAAGATGAAGGAGAAGATAGCTCTAAGGTAGGCTTAGATGCTAGGATTACTGTGTAAATGGTGGATATTTTTAGGACCTGCTAAATGAATCGTATGGCCACAGTTATTAAGGTGATACTTTATACATTGTTGGTGGTTGACTGAAGTGAATAAAGGGTTATGAATACAGAACTTATAGTTTCCAGTCAATTCTTCAGGGAGCTTGAGTAAATGACATCATTCCTTCCTGTGAGAGCAAACTGGAATCCTGTAAAACACTTGAGGGATAGCCATTCCTCTAGGACTTTAATATAAAGGTTGAATCTTCTCACTTGCATCGAAGGGATGTTTGTTCCCAGTTAAAGATCAAGTTACTGCTATAAAAAGTATGAACAGTCTGTACAATATGCTAGTCTTTGCTACTTGGTCACAGGATGAGTAAACGGAACATCATAGCAACCAGAACAGAAAGATCCTCTATGAACTTTAAAAATCTTACCTTGAAAATCTTGAAGACCCATTATGCATTTATACTTTGGGAGGTGCCGACACTCCATGATGACATATTTAAGCTTCTTTTTAGTGTTAGTACAGTCATGAAGTAGTAATAGTCATTTACATAATAAATTTCCTTTAAAGGTTAAATGTCAATTTATATAGCACGTTTAGAATGCAAAAACCTCCCAAACCTCCCCAAATCCTGAAAACCTCCCAAAAAAAGACAGTATATTATCTTAATTTTGCAGACACAAAAGCTGAGACACAAAATGTTGGGACTCAGCACAAAGTCATCCCATAAACCAGGGTATTGACCATATTGAACTCAAGAACCTCTTTAGCTTTATTTTACAGTCACTACAAAGTAGCAGTCCTGTTTGCTAGAGCAGACTTGTAGTGTAGTGTGTACCATGTAGCATACCATGGCCACGTCTTGTGGGGAAAAGGTGCAGACTTGTGAGGAATGTGAAGAAAACATTGGGAGTCACTGAGGAGGTATAATCCAGTCAAGAAATGTAAGTCTGATTTGTTTTCAAATTATATTGTTTTTCATGCCTCAAGCTATAAAATAATCATGTAATTGGAGACATATGTTTTACTACATTTTGAATAAATTCTGATTCAAAAGTTTTATTTCAGGACTTTCCCCAGATTTCACAAACTTTAGGTTTTAAAAATTACTGAATAATTCATACATTTTAAATGAGCACTTCCTTACTGAGGGAGACTTTAGAATACAGTTATGTAAAAATAATACCAGGCAGCTTTTACATTTCCAGAATAATTTATTTGGTGCTCCTATTTCTTTGCTAATATTTTTACATATATTGGTGGTTGTGTGCAAGATGCTGGAGAAAGCATCCACTCAAATAATTAGGATATCCTTTCTGCTTCTATCAAATATTTCAGTTATTTCACCCACACTTTTCATGTACTTTATCACTGCAACACTTCATGCTATAAAAAGTGTCGGTTTCGTGTGGTTTTGTGCAGAGAGTACTCACCTGAAGCTAATGTTTTCAATAACAAAATACTAAGTACTGCAGACCAAGTAAAAGTTGATCCTTTCTTTGTGGAAGCCAGTTTATATAGTGTTCAACTTTTTAAGAAGCCATGGTATTTTGGAAAAATTTCTTTAAAATTCTCTCATGCTCAGTCTAAGCAGAAAAAGATGAGAAAAGGCACAATACACAAAACAAAATTAAATTCAGTATGCTGAAGTTGATATGTTGCCTTAAAATTCAATAATTATAATTTCCATGGTAAGAGAAAAGTTTTCGAGAATATAAAGTTGGTTAGTAATGGCAGAGGGCTTAAATTCATCTTCAACTAGTAAAGTTTAAACTACAAGTTTGATGGGGGGCAGATTTTGCCATACTTGTGTTCTGTGGGATTTCTTAGGTCTCCGTGAAAATGTCTGAAGTTGGCCACCATCGGAGATGGGCAGTGGGCTGGCACGCCTGATCTGATGCAATGGTTCTGCTGTAGTTCCCTCCGTAAAAGACAAAAGAGTTTGAATAATCAGCGTAAGAACTTAGTATATTGTTGCAGTTTACAATTTAAACCCTTCCACTGTGTATCTTTCTGTCACGTTGCTCTTCCTGGAAGCAGCCGGTGAATGGATACGGATACTTAAAATAAACCAGCTTTCTGTGGAGATCTTTCTCCCCAGCCACAACAGTATTACATTTTCTAAGAGCTGCTTTGGAGGGGCCTGTGAAGGTTCTTATTCCAGAAATCCCCCTACCAGTGGAAGAAGGCACTGGATGGGGACAGGGGGAGATAGAGTGGCCGTTCTGTCTCGTGAGAATCTCTTTTACCTGAATGTTACTTTGCCAAATTTGTTTTCTCTTTGGTTTATAAACTATCACGTAGATGTGTGTCATTACTGAAATCAGGGCCAGAGCTCATTAGTTAGTCCTTCAGTAGAAGCGCACGTTGTAGTCATGTAGTAGCTGCTGGAGCTTGCCACATCTGAGCAGTTTCATGAAGTCAGTAAGGTGTTCCTGCCAAAAGGACTGTGTAAACTCCCTCTGAATTCACTGTATTGTTAATAGCAACAGTGACGTTCTCCCTGGTTAACCAGCAAGAAATGTTTGCCTGTGTACCCACATTGATCAAAAAGACAAAGTACATTTTCAAATGGAAAATCACCTCAGTATCAGATGACCTCCCTTAGTTTATACCAGCTGAACGCCCAGCCTTATGTGTGAAAGAGAAACCACCGGTCCTTTGATAGCAGGTTTGGTAGAGAAATCCCGAACAACTATACCTATTTCTATCTAGAGAAGAAAAATAAAGAAATCTCCGTGTCCTACTCATGTTTGCATTAATTTATAGAAAGAGGATGATAGACAGTATGAACAAATATGTACATTATATACATTTGCACTAGAAATATAATTGTATCCCTACTGAACCACTGATTTCCATGCGTGGAAATTTCATGACCATTTCAGCTTAACATACATATTCTGAATTCAGGTAATACGGAAACTTTACAAACTGATGTTATTGTTCATCTACTAAGTTTCTTATATGTTCATTCTATGGTAAATATTCAAATTGTTTTAAGCCTTATCCGACACACAGAACTAATGGCAACAGCTGCTAAAAATTTTGCAATACTCATTCTCATAAAGGCTCTTTTATATAGGCCTTTTGGACTTTAAAAGTCATATATTCCCTCACACAAAAAAAGGGAAAGGAACTGCATTATAGAGGGCTCAGTTGCCCTACACACTGTTGCTCTAAAAGCAAGACAGCTGAGGTTGTTTGACCATAATTATAAGGCTATGTATATACAGTCAGAAAGCTGCTAGGTCCATGGAAATATGAAATATATAGTCTCAGACCAATGATATTGTTTCAGCAAGTGGTGTACATCCCTAAGTCTCCTTAATTCTTCTAAATCTAGTATGTGGGACTATGGTTAGAAGAAGAAAGAAGGGAGAACTTAAAAATCAATAGTTGTAAGTAACTATAAACATTTCTAAACAAAGTGACCACTTACCACATGCTTTATTCTGACCACCTCAACATTGGAACAGCACATTTATGTAATTCTTGCCATAATTCATACTGTTGGATTGTTAAACATGTATTTGGTTATTTCCAAGCATAACTGTGAGCTGCTGGAAGCATTACTGGTTTGCAAATATGTATTTCTTCATAGATGGATAACAGGGTTTTCTTCCATGCTCATTTGAATATCACTTACGAGAGAATTTCAAATAATGTATTTTAGAGGGAAGATAGTGAGAGGACTGCAAGTAGCAAGAATTAACTAACAGAAACACGATTACTAAAGAACTGCTGCAGCATATTCTCTTTATGTGGTAGAGGTTTTACAATATTTACTTTATATGATAAGAGTTATAAGTAGAATTCTATGTTGTCTGTTCAGCCTATTATGCAGATGGTGCTTGATTAAAATCTATTTAAAACTACAGCGATTACTGCAAGATAGTGTGCATAAAACAGCTCTCCTAGCTCCATTAAAGGCTTTCGTACTATTGCAGTTTATTTTAAATATGCTTATAGACATTTTCCAGCTTCTCAAGGGACATTTAGATATCAACGATGTGCCTTACTTGATAGTTTTAAATCCTACACAAGATATTCTTGTGATCTATTATGTGTGCAACATGGTTAATGTACACTTTTTTAAAGTGAAAGATTATTGCTTTCTTGTGATAAATAAGTTAAATACATCACCATAATTAAGCAATAAGCCATGACAGGAGGTGGATTACCATGAGCTAACTACACCTCCAGGGATTTTGAGGCACAAGTCTATGCCTAGCTGAATATATATGGTTTTTATTTTATTTCCCATCTGTCTCTGCTTTGGTGGTTAGAAGTGGAGTCTATGAAGCTGATAGACTGATGGGAGCATAAGGTAGGCCATCATCTCAGCCATTTGCAAGGTTATTAGTACTGGAATTCTGGTATTCTTTTTATTTTGTTATTTTCATATAAGACAAACAGAGTTTCCCCTGTGAATGCTCTCTTTTTAACAGTGGGTTTTTGAAGTCTCTTGATCATTCAGGTTGGAGAATAAGAGTTTAGAGTGGTTCTCAGAACAGCTACTGGAAGACTTCTTACATGAGTTTCTGCAGCATATCACCTAGTTTAAGGGTAGTTTAAGTAATGTGGTATCCTCATATACAGAGAACTTCTAAATCTCATTGGTCCAAAAATACTCTGAAAAGAGGAAAACTTTAGCAAATAAGAGATATAATTTTAACTGTAGCCCAAATTATTGTCAAGCCTGCTTGCTCATGGAGTTTACATAGAACTGTCTGAAGAGTTTAGAATATTGCCAAATTAGCTAGGGAGCCCTAGTTAATTACCATTTAGCTGGTAGTTTTGTGTACTCTGTAGAATGAAATAACAGGAAACTAAAAGTCTGATAACTTAATAATGGGTAGCACACTGCTTCCTTTTTTCGATATTTTCCAGTTGCTGCCAATAGGCTTCGTGTCTATTAGCTGTGTATTAAAGATGCATCTCTTGTAGCATAAATGCTCAGGAAACAAGCAACTTCATTTTCAAATGATGGTCATCACTTTGTTGCTGTGCTTAGTAAGCCACAGAGATCCAGGTTGTTCACTGCAGTCACCTGGCCCCTGCTGGACACCACACAGTCATATATGAAAAATTAAGAAGGTTTTTTGCTCAAAATTAGCATTTCCAACTATTTTCCTCATGCAGTTCCACTGATTTGAACACCTGTGTTCTCCTTTGTCACTTGACATGCATTATTAAAAATTAATAATATAAAGATGGGATAAAAGTCATGCCTAGTAGATCCTTAGCCTAGAGCATGCCTTTTATGCTCTTGATCTTGTCATACTTCAAAATGCTTATGATGCGCAGTACTCTGGCCATGCCAACAAGAGAAAAAAAGCCTTTGAACCTTCTGGTAAGATCACACATCACTACTCCAGGTATAGTGAATAAAGTGATCATATCAAGAGATTCTGCTTTGGTGAGGAGCTCCAATCTGTTGAAGAATTAGGACAGTGTCCCTTTCGCACTTACAAGTCACCTAGGAAGGTCGGGTGCTTTCGTGATCATGGTGTCTGTGCTATTCAGTGGAATAGTGTAGTTCCATTTAGCAAATTTGTGCAGATGCTCATGTGCAGGTTATTTTCAGGTGGTACACAAATAATGCACATGCACTTTTCTTCATATACCATTCCTCTTTCTCTCCTTTTCTCAAACCATTTGTTTTTATATGAGCAGAGGAAAAAACTGTGCAGCTAAATCCAGATGGATCAGAACTGATCCTCCAAATGGGTCTAAACTGTCTGTACTGGTAAAGCTTGTTTCTTCAGATTTTAATTAGAAGATGTGTAGGGGAATGTCTATAACTTTAATCATTTTATTCACAATCAGATTCTCTTCAAATTACCTGGAAAGTGTACCACCAGTTGCAGTAGAAATTGATTTGAACAATAGCTCTGGCATAGTTCTGGGAAAGAGTGTGAATCCTGCTCTCTGCAGGTGATTCATGTGCTTGAACTGGTGGTCAGGCTATAATGAAACTAGTTTCATTTGAATTTACTCATTATATGCATCTTATAGCCATTAGCAATAAAACTTAGAAAAGGTGAAAAGATGACCAGGTGAACTATAAATGAGATTATAGCAATTATATGAAAGCAAAATATAAAGCACTTTGAGGGGAAAAAAATTAAATAATCTGAAACACTTATAATTAATTTTATACATGTGACTAAGGCAGATAGTGTCAACATTTGGATTATTAAAGATGGCAACTAAAATTCCATTTTTGCATGCAAAATACACAGTCTTTGTATCACAGAATCTGTAACAATGGATGGACTGAATTGAACTGGCTTTTTTATAGTACTTTCCTAATTTTGTTACAGGTCAATGGTGGAGAGAAGAGACCTGCTTCAGATATGGGAAAGAAACCGAAAACTCCCAAAAAGAAGAAGAAGAAGGACCCAAATGAGCCACAGAAGCCTGTGTCTGCCTATGCATTATTCTTTCGAGACACTCAAGCAGCCATAAAGGGCCAAAACCCCAATGCTACTTTTGGTGAAGTCTCTAAAATTGTAGCTTCAATGTGGGACGGCTTAGGAGAAGAACAAAAACAGGTACAAAATGTGCTGGATGTCAGAGGCTTTGTTTCAGGAAAGCTGTTATCAGGGTCATCTAAGCACTGTAGTCAGCTCCTTTTGTTTGCCAGGATGAAACTTGAATATGTGCCATCTCAGGAATATGATTTTAAAAGACTGAGATAAGAAGAGTATAGTTTCATTTTTTATGTATGAAACCACAAAAGATTTTATTTTTTTTTTAGTTTTGGAGTGTGACACAAGCTTTAGGATTGTTTTTTGCAAAAATTGGTGGGCCTAAGATTTTATGGTGGCATTGCCCTGACTATGACAATGTGGTATGAGAGGACCTTGCTGCCAAAATTTATATCTGTGCAGTGGGACCTGACGTATATCCAAGTTCCCAGGTGCAGCTGTTTCCCTGCCCCATGATGCCAGAAGGAGTTCTGGGCTCACATAGAGAGGCCTAGGGTGGACCCTGGCAAATCAAGTGCTCCAAGTATCGTCCAGCATACATGTGGGCTGTGGAAATCACATCCCATAGTTACTTATATCTTCTGTGGAAAGGTCTTGGTTGTGCAGTGAGGTCAGCAGAGCTCTATCCGAACCTTTGCAAAAATCTGTCTGAGTCAGTGAGATGCTATGTAAAAGCGGGCAACTCTGGAAGCTCATCGCATTCATGTGGTGACAGTTGGCAAATACTGTTCAGTGTCACTGTAGCATACCACTGCTTTTCTTTTGTTATTGGTTGCATGTTTACTAACTGCCAACAGAATGCATTGGGCAGATGAAGAAGTGGGAACTTTAAGAACAGATATGGAGGGAAAGGATATGCTGAGTGGGAGTTATATTGACTGCAGGAGACCTGGGTGGGGGTTGATGTCAGCACAGAAAGAGGAAAAGTACTGGGACAAAACTGCATCTCATTGATTCACACTGAGCGTATTATTCTTACACAATTATAATTAATAAGGCCAAGAATTAAAAGGAAAATATTGCTTTGAATTTTTGATAGGTAAGATCGTTTGGACTTGAAAAAAAAAGCTTTCTTTGCTAATAACTGGATGGTATAGGTATATCTAGATTCCTCTTAAAGAAGACAGTGTAATAAGTATCAAGATTTGGCACTCACTGACTAACTGAAAAAAAAAAGTTTATTCTGTCTAGTATCCACTGTTGAATAAGGTCAGCATTTGGAAGATTTAGCTGAAGGAAAGGTAACTTTCTGAACACAGGGGTCAGAGAATTCCCTTGGCCTGGCACATTAGGGTTATTTTGTTGTGTTGTCTCTTCCTTCTGCCTTTTTTAATATGTCCAGCAAAGGCCAAGGCTATGTACTTGATCTGACAGGTTGTTTAGATCTTCCCAGTACATCAGTTCTCTCTGTCATGGTTTAACCACAGCCAGCAGCTAAGCACCATGCACCCACTCCCTCACTTCTCCTCCCTCCCTGTGGGATGGGGGGGAAAAAAAATTAAAACTCATGGGTTGAGATAAGAATGGTTTAATAACAAAAATACAATAATAACTATAATAAAATAAAATATAACAATAATAATTTTAACCAAAAAATAAGATAATAAAGAGAGAAATAGAACACAGGAAAGACAATTGGTGCACAATGCAGTTGCTCACCACCCTCTGACCTATACCCAAGCAGTGATTCCCTGCCAGCCAACTCCCCCCAGTTTATATTCTGAGCATGATGTTCTGTGGTATAGAATATCCCTTTGGCTAGTTCAGGTCAGATGTCCTGGCCAGGATTCTTCCCAGCTTCTTGTGCACCTGCTTGCTGGCAGAGGATGGGAAACTGAAAAATCCTTAATTTACGATAAGCTCTACTTGGCAACAACTAAAACATCAGTGTGTTATCAACATTATTCTCAGACTAAGTCCAAAATGCAGCACTGTACCAGCTACTAGGAAGAAAAATAACTATCCCAGCCAAAACCAGGACACTCTCATAGTTGAACATCAGTTTTTAGGACCAGGATGATGTGTATTCACTTTTGACTCAGAAAAAATAATGACTATGCTTTAAGTTAGGTTCACAAGCAAGAGGTTTTGATGCCATCCCTCTTTGTCCTGTGTACCTGCCCAGAATCACTCCCCATGTTGAAATCTGCACACCCAAACACATGCCTCAGGAGTCCTCTAAGTATTTAGATCTGTATCTTGGACCATCTTCTATGCCTGTGGGATGACGCATCCAGATTTTCCTGAAACGGTGAGAGGCAGAGACCTGGACTTCTCAGAATCACAGAATCATCTAGGTTGGAAAGCACCTTGAAGATCATGCAGTCCAACCAATAACCTAACACTGACAGTTCCCAACTACACCATGTCCCTCAGCGCTAAGTTGACCCTAAACACCTCCAGGGATGGGGACTCCACCACCTCCCTGGGCAGCCCATTCCAACGCCTAACAACCCCTTCTGGAAACAAATAATTCCTGACATCAAGTCTAAACTTTCACTGGCGCAACTTGAGGCCGTTCCCTCTTGTCTTATCGCTTATTACTTGGTTAAAGAGACTCATCCCCAGCTCTCTGCAACCTCCTTTCAGGTAGCTGTAGAGGGCGATGACATCTCCCCTCAGCCTTCTTTTCTCCAGACTAAACTAAACTTCTCAAGAGTTTATTAATCTAGTTATTCTTACATCTTTTTAGTGATGACACCAAGCAAGATGTTATGCTTTTTTTCTTTACCATTTTTCATAAAGACCCTTAATTTGTGGCTGTTGCAGTGGTGCAGTTTTTCCTTCCATAATATTTGCGCTGCTTACAAAGCAGAAGACTTGGCTTCAGGAATAATAGTCCAAGACCATATAATGGAGATAGACCTAAAAAAAAATACAAAATGCACATTTCCTTTGAACTTGTCATAGTAGTGCCAGCAGAATATTGAAGTCTTCCCACAGAATTCTGTTTAAGAGAAGTGCATAAAACCTTAAAATTTCTAGTTTTAACTTGGATTTCCTATTTGTGGTTGAGAACAATAATAGAATAAGTCCTACACTGGAACATCAGAAGAAAATTTATTTTCCTATCTCTGTTATCCTTAAATTGGAACACAGCAGAATGTTATGGAATCTACATGACACATCCGTGAAAAAATGGCTGCAACTAGATTTTTAAGCCAATTATTCTGAGAGCTTGGGTTACCATATCTTTGTTGCTCTTTGACTCATTTTTCCTATTCATTATAATCTATTAAGCACATTGGTAAAACTCCAGGCCCAGGCCCTTTCTAATCTAGCACTGTACAAAAAAAAAAAAAAAAAAAAAAAATCCTATTTTCTAGAATAAATTTAACCTCATTCTTTATTCCATTAGGGATCTAATAGTACAAAGTAATGATTACAAGACATCTTAACTGACTAGATAGTCTGTATTTTAAAGGCCTAATTTTTCAGATCCAGAGCATTATAACTGTTATGAAACCTATGTCTCCAGTAGAAAAATTGGACTCTAAAAATACAGATGATTAATGTAGCATTTGGAATTTGGCATTGAAGAAGCTTCAGAAATTCAAAAATAGTTAAATAAAGAAACAATAACATCATTAGAGGAATACTTTATTGATGAATTATACTTGCTGAAAAGGATTCAATTATCATAAACTTCTGGCTTTTATGTTTTGGAAGCTAATGCTTATTCTGGAATTTAAATAGAATTATGTTTCCACATTATGTTTCCTGAATTGGAACTCCTTTTACTATTTAAATAGTAAACATAAATGAATCAGAAAGTAGAACATAATGCAGCTATTGAGAAAGAAGCATAACCTCATGTTTTCATGCCAAAATGAAATCTTTGTTCCTATGACCTAAGCCAGCTTTTTCTGAAATGCATAGAATTCTTCTTGTTTATTCCTGAAGATTGACCACAGAATAAATAAAGGGATTGAAACTCAGTACAGTAATGACCTAAGGGCAGTATATGTATGTCTAAGCCTTTGCAAAAAAATTTTGATAACCTGACGTATAAGACTGTAGCTTGAAAGGGTTTGTTCAAGAACCACATATGCTTTTCAAACTGTGAAGAAACTAGGGAAATGTTATTTGAGAAAATAGTATTTGAAAGACAAAAAAGGAAACTTAATTATGAACTAGATGATGGTGGATGCCTTACTGAAATTAGGATGGAGTTATACTTAAAATGTATCACACTCTGATGCTCTTACTGTGAGAATATTGCAATTTATTACATTAAAGCAGATACGAGTGGATTTCTACATTCATTCTGCCATATGAAGACATTTGCATTTTGGGGTTGTATGCTACAACTGCTCCCATTAATTTCTGAGCATACAGGGCCATTTGCAAACAACACTGATCTGTGTCTGTGTTTTGTTTTTCCAAGCCTATGTACACAGTCTAGAAATTAAAAGGACTTTAGTGGTCATGGTGGACTTTGTAAAGGTTTCTTCTCAAATTTTGAATTGGATGCAAGAATTACACATGATCAGAAGTAGGAACGGTGCATTTTCCTTCATTTTTTCTAAAACTGTTCAGATTAATAAACCTATGAATGGAAAGCAGCTGTAACAGTAGTATATTGGGTTACATTCTCCCCAGTGCTGTAGTCATAGCACAGGTATATTTTCAGTGGTTTTGCTAGTTCCTCTCTTATGATCACAAGCACTGTTTTCTCTTTAGTCAATATTATACTTCTGTGCATCCCATTTTTATAGCTTATTTATGTACATCTTTGCCCTTTGCACGCATTTTTACTGCAAAGGGGAGAAAAGCAGCCCCCAGGGTCAGCATGCTAAATGGTTGAGTCTCTGGCTTTCAGAAAGAACACTGGTTCAGACTGGGTAAAAAGGCTACTTAGGTCATTTTCTGTCCTTAGATGAAAAAGGAAAGTCAGTTTAAATCAGTACCAGATGTCTGTGTACTAAATGAACCTTAAGTTTCTAATTGGAGTCCTAGTAAAGCTGTAATAGATGTGGCAAATTACAAACAAAATGTTCTTGTTTACATTAGTGTAACTTTAAAACTTCAGCCAAAGACCTTAATAAATGTGCTATTATTCT